GTCACAGGGGGTATGGGGAGGGGGCACGGGGGTTGGGGGCGTCCCAAGGGTTATGGGATCACAAGGCCCTGGGGGGCACAGGGGGGCTGTGGGGTCACAGGGGCTGTGGGGACACAGGGACACGGAGCCTGGGGAAGGGGGGGGACACTGTCTGGGACTGGGGACACTGTCTGGGACTGGGGACACGGGACAGGGTTGGAGACACGGGACAGGGTTGGAGACACGGGATGGGGTTGGGGACATTGGACACGGTTCAGGACATGGGCCAGGGTTGGGGACAGGGTTTGTGACCCCGCGTGTCCCCACAGACATCGACGAATGTGCCAAGGGCGACGTGTGCGGGGACGGCGGCACCTGTGCCAACGTCCCCGGGCACTACAAGTGCGAGTGTCACCCGGGGTACCGGCGCAAGGGCTCCCGGCCACCCCTCTGCGAAGGTGACACTGGGGGGGTGACAGGCATGGGGGGTGAGGGGGGGACACTGGGTGGGGTCAGGGACACCAGGGACAGGGTCAGGGGATCCTGCAGGCCCCCAGTACAGGATGCTGTGGGGTCCCCCCATCCCCTGATGCCCCCCATGTTCCCCTGTCCCCCTCCCAGATATCAACGAGTGCCTGGATGTGGGGACGTGCCCCGAGGCCAAGTGTGAGAACCAGCCCGGGGGGTTCGTGTGCACCCCCTGCCCCCCCGGCTTCCGTGGCCTCAACGGCGCCTGCCTCGGTCAGCACCCCCGGGGACCACCCAGGACCCTCCCAAACCCCCCAGGTCCCCTCCCTGGGACCCCCCAGGAACCCTGTGCACCCCTTGGCTTCCATGGCCTCAATGTGCCTGCCTCAGTCACCATCCCTGGGACCCCCCAGGAAGCCTGGGATCCCTTAGGACCCCTTTTCCTGGAGACCCCTTTATCCTGGGGACTCCCTCCCCCAGAACCCCACCCCAGAGACCCCAATATCCACATGTCCGGCACCCCGGGCCCCCCCTCAAGTCCTCCCCGGGGAACCCATCCCTGACTTCTCTCCCTGACCCAGAGCACCCCCGGGACTCTCACCCAGGGCCCCCATCCCTGTCCCCACCCCAGGACCCCCATCCCTGCTTCCCCCCAGGACCCCCTTTGCCCCTCCAAGGACCCCCCCGGCCCCCAAGGCCCTCCCGGGGCTGACGGGGGTCGTGCAGATGTGAACGAGTGCGAGGCAGGAGGGCTCTGCCCCGGGGGGAGCTGCGTCAACACCCCCGGCTCCTACAAGTGCCAGTGCCCCCCCGGGCTGCAGCCAGCGCGGGACCCCCCCCGCTGCCAAGGTACCCCCGCATCCCGGGGGGGCTGGGGATGCACCCGGTCGGGGACCCTCCCCTGCTGCCAAGGGACCCTCAGATGTGGGGGGGGCTGAGTGTGGGGGGG